AGAACCACAATAAGAAAGTTCGAGGCACGCTAGCACGAATATATAGTTTCTTTCGATTTGTGTACCTTCGTAGCTCTACAACGCGATTTCGCGTGTTAAACGCGCAATTGTTAGTGAATTGCACTTACACGTAATCGCAATTATCTCAGATTTCGATTACTCGAAAACGATGACCGCGTTTAAAAATGTGCTTTGAGGTTTTACTCTCTTCTACGCGTGGTTGTCATGGTTCCCTCGCGCTTGCACTAAAACACGTGGTATGATGATGTAAAAGAAAGAAAGAAAAAGAAAGAAAGAGAGAGAAAGAGAGAGAGAGAGAGAGAGAGAGAGAGAGAAAACAGGAATTAATAATAAGCTAATAGCTAAGATCATTCGCGAAGAATCAACAGCCTATTGCGCCTTTTACACGATAGAACTGCATTTTTTATGACCTGCATCCTATTCTTCCGCTTTATTATACATTCGTACGTCGTATATGTATATGTATATACAATATATATATATCTGTGTACACCTCGAGATATGTGGAAAGTAAGTACAACTATGGAACTGATTGAAAGCTGTGTACTCTACGCTCTAACGAAGAACAATTTTCTTTTTATCACAAACGCGCATCTCGTCACATACGAACATATTCGTCGATGTTGTGAAGGGATGAACGTTTTACGATCTACAGGGAAAGCGACAGAAGGAATTCTCGTAGCGTTTCAAGCTAAAGAGAAACCATGACGACTATATGACGTGATCGTATGCACTACACGTGATTGCCGAAATAAACGCGCGCTCTCGCATTGTGTGAGTGTGATCCTTAGCGATAATGTGATCGTAGTAGTTTCTTCTTTTTTAGTAGTATAGTAGTACATAGTAGCAGTAGAATAATAGTGGTAGTAATAGCCGTAATAGTAACGATAGGTAATGTATAATTTGGGAAATGTCGGTGGTGGTGATAGAAGTGGTAGTTAGAATAATAGCAGTGATAATAGTAGGATTAGCCATATAGTGTTACTGTTGTTGCTGTTGTAAAATTAATAATAGGGTGTCTACCAAACACACCTTCGGTAGAGACCAACGTTGCTAAAATTTTCAATCGCCTCGTGACATTGCTTTTTCATTTTCCTCGTTTTGATATTCGTCAAAATAGTAAAACCAATAGTTTAAACATTGTAGATAATAATTACTATCTATATCACAGATTCAAGTGACTAAACTCCTTTAAAAATATAATATAAATATGTGCACGTGTCGTAATGGTTCGCATAATATATATACACACATATACATAGATGTAGGTAGGTATATATGTATATATACACTCGCAGAGACGTGATTAAAATCAGGCGAAATAAGAGTACTGAAATCACGGAGACTCGTAGAAACATTACACGCTTCGGTTTCAGCTAGCATCGCATACGGATAGCGATCGATTCATTAAAACGATCTGTGCCGATCTAGCACGATTTTATTATCCAACAATTAAAAACTCCGCTTCAATCGGGTGCTATTCAATCCCACGTTAAAAGATGTTTATGAATATAAAATCCATTAGATACAAAGAGACACAAAGTAGCAAACATTTATCGAACAGTAGTCACTTCGCAATTGATCGAGCTAAGTCGTCGTATCCCTCCTAAACCGAAACTGAGATCGCATTTCTTAAACCGTGACGAGCGAGCATCCGTTGTTACGAACCGAAAGTGGATGCTCGATAGGCACTTTGATCAACCGACGCGATTAAATAGCACCAGTTTCACTGGTATTTTCGTTCATCATGTTCGCGTTGGGGGTCGAGCGATGCTAGATAAAAACTCACGTTTTTAATTATTACGCTGCATATATTCCGAATACGAAGTATTCGCGGGGCTCGTATTCGAGTACTGAGCATATAGATAGAGTGCGGGATGAAGCCCTGGCGGAGGGATGCCGCGGTGCAGCTGATGTTGCGACTCCGATGTTGGATCTAGAGGGGACGACAAGTGCGAATAGAGTTGGGAGTTGGGGCTTTCCAAGGAATCGGAGGAGCCCGTCGTTTGGTAGACACTCTGCGGTGTGCTCGTGTGCTCGGTGTGAGATATAGGTGAGTTAAGTGTGAACGGCGAAGACGCCGAGGTGGGACATACTACTTGCTGTGGTGATTGATGTTGCGGCAGGGACTGGGTAGCGCTGCTGCTGTCTAAACACTAGTTGGTGGTCTGCGGATGCAGCAGCGGTAATGGAAGCTGTAGATTGTTCTGCTTGGCTAAACTGGCAATCTCCGCGGCGATGCCCGTGCCTTTAGCTCCTGCGAGACCGTCCAATGACGACGGTCCTTCGCTGTAGCGCAGATCACAGACCGGGCTCTCGAAGCCGGTGCCCGGGGTGCCGGCGCCGCTGCTCTGCGGCGTCGGTGGATTGTGATTCGTGCTCTGAGTCATGTCGCGGTGCACCCGGTTTTGATGCCTTATCAAATAACTGTCGCGTACAAATGTACGTCCACAGAGATTACACTCGTAAGTGGTACTGGCGGTATGTGTACGGATGTGAATTGCAAATTGACTTTTGGACGTGAACGTGAGAGAACATCGGTCGCAAACCAGAGGTTTCTCGGCTACGTGGCTCCAACGGTGCGCAGTGACGTAGCTCTTGACGGCGAAACGTTTGTGGCAAATGTCGCACGCATACGGTCGTTCGCCCGTGTGCACTCGTTTATGAGTATTGAGACTGCTCTTTTGAGTAAACCTTTTCAGACACAGCTCACATTGAAAAGGTCGTTCGCCCGTGTGCGTCCTCATATGCACTTCTAGATAAGGTTTGCGACAAAAACTCGCCTCGCATACTGTACAATGGTAGGGCTTGTTCCCTGAATGAAGTTTCATATGCACATAATAGGACGAAGCGGAGGACAGTACCTTGCCGCAAACTTTGCAAGGTTGAGGTTTGGACCGTGAGCCCTCTTTAACGGTCTGTTGACCCGTAGACTGACGACTCGGTGACTCCTGTTGCATACCCTGACTCTGCTGTTGCTGATTCTGTTGCGGTTGTTGCTGACTCTGTGGTTGGCCCTGTTGTTGCTGACTTTGCTGCTGACTCAGCTGCAACGTTTGCTGCTGAGGCTGCAGGTGACCCTCTTGCTGGGACAGATCCTCTCGATCGTCGGACAGATTCACCAGGGAATTGGATCCATCTGAACGACTGGAAGCAACCGAATAGAACCCCATGGGCTCGCTCTTGATCTGTTGATCGAACATGGACGTCATAATGACAGTCTGCTGTGGTTGAGCCAGCTGCTGACACTGCTCGTCCTGCTGCTGTGCTGCTTGCTGATGGGGGAGCAGAGTCAGGTTGCGCTTGACAAACTGCTCATATCCTGTGTACCAATCCACCTGCATGTGAGAACAAAGCTCTAGAGCGTGGTACGCCCCGGGGGCAGGAGGGGAAGGAAAAAGAAAAAGAAGTGGCGTCACCCAAGCGAGCGTGTTACCCGCGGACGTCTGCGGCGCGCATACGGCCACATCAGGTTAGACCAACAAGGTTCGCTTTGACATCTATCTTTGACAAGTGACAGAAGGTAGCTGGACGATCAGCTGATTGCATAACTTTTAACCGCGGGGCGCGTCGCACACGGTACGGACGCCACCGCGGAAGCATCGCCGGGGTCTACGATGGCAAGTGACGCGAGCCGCTTTATTTTTAATAGAGCGGCCGATGAAGAAACGGTGGAAATATATCCCGTCGTCGGCGAGATCGGATTTCTCCCGCGAGTGGAGGGGATAGTTCGTGTCTTGTACGCGCGTCTCCTCGGTGGAAAACCGATTAGACGCGCTCGCCGCTTCCGTACAAACCTTTGCTAATGTAGTGGTCCAGGTCTAGGGTCGAAAAACGTCGCGCCTCATCGAGCGCACCGCCTCCCTGCGTCGTGCGGCTTCACGGGCAATCGCGAAACATTTGTACGGTCAAATTGTTTTTCTCCGACACAAAATATAAGATGGCTGCTACTATATTTCGCGACGGGCACCTATACGCGCGCACGCACACGCACACGCGCGCACCGCCGTCAAGCGGCACGCGCACCAACGTGCACCGAGCCGTTTCATTGGCTGCTCGCCTTAGGCCGCGCCCGCCGCCATTGTCTTCGACTCCCTCGCGATGATTGGATCGCACACGCAGTGTGCGATCATTTATACTACCCGTAATCTGTTAACTTGTGCCATAATCTGTAAGAATCGACCAATCATAGTCGATTATTCCCCTCTAATTCGACTGTGATTGGTCAATTCTTACAGATTACGACATAAATTAACAGATTTTACGGCCAATATAAATTAATCTTTAAATGATCCTATCCTCAGTAATTCTTATGGCTATATATGCGACAATACGAAAGGAAATCATAAACAATAAATAATCGAAGAAATAAGAATTCTTCAACAATATTCTAGATGCAAAAATGTAAATATTTGAGGAATACAATATACCGATAAAGGATGCATGTAAACTGCTCCTGTGTTGTATTCAATTTTATTAACATTAGGGTAGAATTATAGACTCTATACCAACAATTTGCCAAAACAAAAGTGAAGTCATGATCAGACTCTAATTACTCATTCTAACTTAGGGTGAATTTTTTAATTCATCGATTAATCAATCGTATTATGTGCAAATACAGCTTTTACGGAACAAATTATATTTACGCATAACGTGAATTAAAAAACTCGCCCATATTAAAATAATGACGAGGCAATAAAAAATTTGTCATTTGCGATCTCTGTTATATAAGGGTCTTCATCCGATGGCGATACAAAACAACCGTTTAAAGACTTAATAAATAAGTGACAAATATGTTGCCATAACAAGAGCTTGATACCCTTCGCGTGACACGACACATGAAAATTCGTAAAATTCACGACAAGAAATACCAACGGAGCAGCCAATGGCGTTCGTTCTTTCTCTCTGTGAGAGAACGGGAGCGTCTCATTGGTCATGCCTCGATCGTCCGCGGACTTGTTCTTCGTTAGCTGCACCGTTTGTACTTTTCGAATAGGAAATGAAATGGATAAACATACGATCAAGTATTAAAGGGAGGGACGAGTGTCGCGACAGGTGCAATTCTCAAGAGCTAGACTAGCTAGATTGTATGTACGAGGTCGCACGTTGATGTTGGTCTGTCCGAAGGAACGGTGATTTGAAAATCGCTATATTTACACGACGATTCCTGGAACGGACCAAAAAAAATTGTATTCTCACAACAGCAGCTTGTACCGATCGACTTTACGGCGAGCAGAACTGTAACGGTAATTATCACATGTCAGCACAATTGTATTTGATACTCCGACGAAACGACCAAGTTACACCGATTTAATATCGTATAATTATCTTAGCGTAAACGGCGTACAAGTATCGACGATAGCGCGCGCGCAGTGTGTGTGTGCCGGAAGAAATTTTACGTTAGGATAAGGCCTCTTGTACGACGATAGATACGGTATATTGTACATGTAATAATCCCTTCCTAGATAATACGTTCGCAGAGATACATTCGCTTTTGATGTCTACTCCAGAAAGGCACACGCTATTGTGTTCGAGTCAGCTTCAACGGAAACGTGTTTCGCTCGAAGGAGCCTCGATTAACGTACATTTAATGTATTTTAGACTGAAAAAATGGCTGTACCGTCAGAGAACGTCATGAATACAAACCTCGACGATCCTGTAACAAAGGCAGTGGTCGATAATATAATGGGTAATCTGCCTACAAAAAAACCTCTCGTTCGATGCGAAGACTGTGACCTTTCCTTTACAAGTCAGGCAGTATTAGATACACACTTACAGGGCGCACGTCATGCCAAACAAGTCAGTAATAAGTAGAGACAAACATAAGATTAGACGCATGGTTTTTTTTATTATTTAATGAAATGATATTACAGGTAAGATCTAAGAATATAATGGCAACTCTTGAGGAAACAAAGATCTCATTTACCAAGGATGAAGAGACAAACGGGCTGAAATGCAATGTATGTAACGTGTGCCTGAATTCAATTCAGCAATTACAAACGCACCTCAATGGTAATGAAAATACATAATATTACTTGCAATATATCATAAATTTAGCATAAAACATTGTAAAATTAAGATAATATTAAAAATGACATGAAACATGTATTTGCAGGAAGCCGCCATAAAAAGAAATTAATGAGAGGTAATAATAAATCTTATATGGTAAGAAAAACACTGCCATATGGCCTTAAAACTAATCGCTTCATGTACCTGGATAAAATAGAGAAAAATACAGTTGTATTAGTTTATAGTTTAGTATTGTTCGCATTCGCATGCTTGACGCTATTGCTTACTTTTGCTTTTCACTTCTTTCTATGAATTAACTATGTGGAATTAACTTGCTTGCCATTCGCATAATTTTTATTGTTGTAGAATTTCAGTGCTAGTAAGCGCTTAGTAATAATTGCAATTTGTTGTTATTCTGCGTTATTATTTATTATTATTTATTTAATATTTAATTATTATTGAAAGATAAGTAATATTATATTCGTTTGCTATTAACATGTTATCGTGAAAAACAGTTTGGTCACGACTTGTTTGCATATGTTACATTTAATAAACTAAGTTTGTTTGACTGTACCTCTTAATTCCTTCTCATGTACAAATTTTACATATGTATTACTTTTTTATTAATATTGTTGTGTTATAGAAATATTTTTTGTTATTTTTTTAATGACTGCTTTATATATGAAAAATATTTCATGAAAAATAAAGAACAACAAATAATGCGAGTTATTAAATTTCCATGTAATGATATTGTATAGATATATATGTATATGTATATAT